AAAAAAATGTACTGATAACCCTACCCAAATGATTTTGTCATAATTACCTCAACCACGAATGAACGCTGGTGACTTTGAGCAGTTGCGCTCACGGCATCTATTGATTCAATGATACGCTGTAGCGCACTATCCGTTCCGATGGTCATATCAGTTCCTAAATTCATGTGAGCCAGCCTTTAATTTTTACATCATCACGTCAAGCACACTAACCACAAAAATCATTGTCAATGGATCCAACTAGACCAACAATCTGGATATTTGGATTTTTGGCAGCAGTTTCCGGGCTAATCTGTAAATAACAGATCTCATCATAGTAGAGTTACCACCAGTAAAGCACCTTTCCCGTATCGACCAGCTCTTTGACCAAGCCCGGCCAGTCTTTACGGAACTGATTCGCACCAGTAAGCGTACCATCACCACCAATGCACACCAGATTCGTAATGCCTTTTTCGATCAAGTTAAGTGCAGCCTAAAATGTATCATATGAACAAGTGCGGTGCGTAAGCGTGCATTCTCGATAAAAATGATGTCTTCGGTAAGAAAAAAGTGTCCTCAAACAGATTCGCAATCGGATTATTTGGAGAATGATGCAATCTCGCACAAAAAACCAAAGTGACTTTAGCAAGTAGACAAGCTTTTTAGAAATTTCTGCCAAAAATTAGAAGGATATTAGGTAGCATATACGAAATTCATCCCTTACACATCTCCATTTCTCAAAGTGAAGCCGAAGTTCTAAAAAAGCTATATATCTAGTGTCATACTTGAACCATGATCACAGTCAGAACAGCTGTGTCTGGAAAGCTTTTTCCGCGAGACGATAACCATTTCCCTTTTCAGTTTTTATTTGCATCATGACGCTCATCATTCGTCAAAGAACGTTCAATGCTGAGCGATCCACTATTAATCACATTGTGACGCGTTGCCGATACGACTATTAATGCACACTCCCTCGGCTCTATTTTTAGTAGCAAATCGATGTCTCCGAAATCCCCGTAGATATCTATTTGTTTTTGATGCACTGTAATCGACCTTGCAACAGCGCTGACAAAACTCGGGAGACACATGGAAGAAACACGTGCCATTTGAACGGGCGTAATCAATAGCGGACGCTAGGACGATGACTAGGCGCAGTTGTGAAAAACGAAGATGGAAAGGGCGGACAAGCCACAGCTGTTTCTAGGTTTTTCAAGCGTTTTGGTGACCGAGGCTCACAATTCTAGCAGAAATCGAAAACCAAATTTTCAAACTGCTTCTCAACAATGGCATGAACAACTGATGAAATCGTAAAGTTTTTAGAGCTTTCACCTTTAGACGCCCCTCTCGTTTGCGGAAGTCGGAACATCGGGCTGAGCCAATAATCGTTCCACCCTGCAATTGCGCGAACATTGGTTGCGTTCATTTACGCAGCAGGAATCAGCCAACAATTGAAAATGCACCTTTTGTATAATATCAGATACGGAATTCCAATTAGCTTCGACGATATTGTCTCCTCCATCTACCATGCCCTGATAACCCTCATTGATGAAGAACACTTTGCAGCCGAGATAGATACCCATACGGACGACTGATCGTACAGCACTATTCATACCTCAAATAAGACATTCATAAGATCAGTGCGAAAATTTATGAATAAATACCTTGAGAGTCGCCTCCAGATGTAAATACAGCAACTCCACGGCCTTTGTATAGGTTAAACTGTATGGCAGATCCTTCCTTTCCTGCTGTTGGAACTATGGAGTCAAGCCTCCGGATGTTCCGCTTCTCCCTTTGGGCGGCTTGCGCCTCCATCTCCTGAAATTTCATGAGATCTGTTCTGAAAATTTGGAAGGCATGAACTAGCGGACTTGAAACGGGACAATTAATTCTACATGGAAATGAACTTTATTTTGATGTATTTGAGAATGTACTATGGTGGTGGCAGCACTCGACACACAAGTGGTAATTTGGTAATTCGATTTCAAGCGCTACTCGATCAGGCATAAGACTGACAGCTACCGCAGAATTCTACATAGAGAGATGCTAATCAAGTCCGCAGGTTCATCGATATGTTAAAAGTAAATCTAGTAAGATAATTCAAACAGTACCGCGAATACCTCTTCCTCAAAAGCATTGACTTCATGATGGACGTGTTTCTCAGGCGGCGGCTTATCAGCCATATCAGTAGTCATATTAGTAGCCATTTTTAGTGAATTAACGAGTACTCATCGGTGGCCAATTTGACGGCACACTTGTGAGAAGTGAGCCGAGCAGCGGCCGGGGCGGCTAGGGGCGCTGATGCAAATCCACGCTGACGAAGCAGTAGGGGCGGTGAGCTCGAGCGAGTGCGAGGCGGAGAATTGCTAGGAGACGCCCTCTGAGCACAGCAAAGACA